ATACCGATTCCATGAGATAACATTGACATCAGTGTTGTGTGCCTTTACAGAAAGTGCTGGCGACTTTCCCAGTCTGGTATCCCATATTGCTATAGTTCCATCCACCGAACATGAAGCAAAAACATCAGCTTCTGTTGGACTCCACTGCAAGAATAGCAAAATGGTAATCAGGATCAATTAAGATTTTATAAATCAGAATATTTTGAATGTTGACAATATAAAATATCAAGGATAGTAAGAAACCTACTTGTAAATCTTCCACGCTAGCAGCATGTCCAACAAAGGGACTTGAATCCACATTCCATGTTTCAGCAGAAGGTTCCCACAAGTGAATAGAACTATTGCAATCACCTTGAGCAACAATAGTAGATGAAAAACACACATTAAAAGGAAATCCTAAGATGAAGTAACCACACAAATTTTGGCATGCATTAGAGGTACCAGAGACAAGCCTTCCAGGAACAATAGGACTCCAATCAATAGCATAGCCTTCATCTTTGTGACCACCAAACTTTACAATGGGAGAGAGTCGATGTATGCTATTTCCTCCAACGGTTGTGTCTGAAACAGATTCTGCTAAAGCATTCAAAAGTGTGCTTATGTCCCAAACCTGCATAAAAATGGAGCAAGACATTTTGGTCATAAACAGCTAAAAAACCATAAAGTCAGTAGTATGTATATAATATCACTTTAAGAAAAACTATATAGGTTTGCAAGTTCTAAGAAAAATAGTCATCTAAAACTGATGTGCTGAGTTGATCATTTTGCACCTATATTTTGCATAGGGAAAAATTTATTCCCAATACATCTTGCATATATATAGTATGTAAAAATGGAAGTTTATGTCCAATTTAATTGATCTCTTGTGCTTGTATGCATGCCTGACATTTTATCACGAGTTTATCAGGGCAGTGTAATCCTTTATGGTGATAATTTATCTAAATTAGTTGCAAACATGCAACTTATTCAAAGTTACCCAGTTGTATGCAATGAAGCAAGATGCATGTGACAGACTTAGAGAACTACTTCAAAGTACAAGAACCAAAACAATTGACAGATCAAGATTCAATTTGGTGCCTGTGGACAATATTTACAACGATGGTACATTACATGTAAAATAACCTGTAGCCATTTATTCAAGAGGCAAATTGCTGAAGGAGTGACTAACCTGGACATGACCAGTATCAGCCCATGTAGCACATATATGAGGTCTTTGAATCATGGAGCGTATGCGATTTACACATCCTTGATGAGCCACTTTATGCAACTGTTATTACATTTTATTAGTGAGCAAAACTTGTAATCTCCAAGTAGAGCATCAGAGACATGAAACAGATTACTCACATGTAGAACAGGTTGTGAAGATTTATCATCTTCATCATCATCGTCTTCATCGCTGCTGCTCTCACTATCCATGTCAACATCATTGTCAGCGGTCGAAACAGGGACTAGTTCACGCTTCTTCCCAGATATATTTGAGAGCTTAAAAATTCCAAGATAATTCCAGGATGCTTGTTCGGCCTGCCAAGAACAAATAGAATCACATCTTTAAGACAAACTATCCAATATGATCAGTAGCTTATTTTTATCTAGCTGCAAGTTCATATCTCTAGTCTACTCCAATACAAATATAGCTCTTTGAAGAACATTAAGTTGATTATTAAAGTGGCTCAAATTATTGACAATAAACAACAACTAAGCAAAAATAATAAAATTAAGTTTCTTATCAAAGTGGCCAATACCAAAGATGCAATGAGCTTTATCAAACAGCAGATCTACACACAAGTCACAAGGATCAAGACATTTTTAAGTTTTAGGGAGGACCAATATATATAATCTTACATCTACATGCAAAGATGCTAACCATGACTCAGGCTCCTGAGACCCAAGTTGCAATGAAGCATTATTACTGAGGTAAGGAGCTTTAAACTAATTATTTGAGGAGGTGCAACATGATTCATCTTGTTGATGGAATCTTGTCCAAATGACCTTCCATTTAGTCTCACGTAAGTATTTGTAGCTAGTATTGACCAATTTAGCTACTTGTACACTATTGAAAAGGTAGTTGAAAAAAAAACATTTTGATAGTTACTACTCCAAGCTCTTGTCAGTTGTCATCACAACTATAGTAATTCATTTTCTCCTTTTTCTTATATTCCAATTTTTTGCTTTGACCACTCATGGGTTTGATTATCAAGTTTTATTTTAGCAACAACCATCTAGAACTTCTAGATCTCCAGAAGACATATTGATTTGCTATTATAAACAAGAACACAAACATTGGTATGATTTCTCTAGCTAAAACCAATCTTGTAGGCTAAATCCAACAAGATGTTTTAAACTCTCAGGGGCATTTGGTCAAAGGTCCATGTTAATAGGATGTGACAAAGAGAATGCTAAATGTAAAATTATACAAAGGAGAAAACAGAAGAAATAAATGTAAAATTTAGCATCTGAAAGCTGACAACTCCAGAAACGATATCCGACTTTCCCTATCCAAAAAGAACTCGTAACCTTTTCAATCTGAATACAATAAAAATCAGAAAGGTATATCCAGTTACTAACAGAAGTTGCTGATGAGGCATAGTTCACCCTTGACTTTCCTATCTTGACTAAAATTGTGAGAAAGAGTTTCTTACTCTGATTCCAACTAGGATTTAATTGTCCACCCACTTTATGAACTGGATTAACCATTTTCGAACATAGTTGATTATTATATATCTCTCGATACATCAAGTTGCTGCAAATAAAACATAAACGTCCTTAACACCACAATTAGTGAAGAGGAACCTGATTACTATATGAACTCCTGCCCATTTAGCATCCACAACATAAGAATTTGACAGCAAACAGTCACTTGATGGATTTCTTCATCAATATTTCTGTAAATATATACAAACTTTAAGACTAAAAGTAGCAGGAAAAGTACCTGGGTTCCGGCAACACCATAAAATGTGTGTGGAAACTCTGACCGAACCAATCCCAAAGAATCATGCACTATGTCAAAACTGCAACAACAGAGCAAAATGTAAAAACAAAAGATAATAATAATACAAGAAACTGCTCTACAACAAAAAAAAAATTCAAATTATTTTTTTTTTCAATTCCACCTCAAACAGGGCCATCCAATACTAAATGCACGTAGGTAATTGTATGTCGAAGGATCAAACTGCAGCTCTTCACCCTCTTCTAACTGATCTACACCGGGTTGCCATACCTAAGCAAAGACAAAACAAAAAAAGAACGACACCCTAAACATCAGAAACTCGACCAATATATTCAAATCGTCAGTGCTTCCACAATTAAATTCAACCTTCAAAAGAACTTAATTCATAAGAACTCAACCATCACTTTTTCGTCTCACCTTAGCCGGTGCGGAGGGCACCGAGGAAGACTCGCTCTTCTTCGATTCCTACAAGAGAAGAAAGGAACAACTTTAATTGGATAGATGGTGGAGGAAAAAAGAGAAGCTGCAGGAGTTGGGAAACACCTTATTCTTTCTTTTAGCCTTCTTGGGATTCTTGAGACTTCGCACCATCGTCTCGGACGTGAAATCGCAACTCGAATGAATCCCCGATGGAGGCGTAGCGAGGAGCGAGCGTCGGAGGTGAGATCGCAAAACCCTAGAACGGTGTGTGGCTCGACTGGCAACGCGAGGAGGTCGACACTTAAAAACCTTGGACGGATGCGGTCGATACGAACCGGACCAGGTCGGACCGAACCAGCTCGGTACATTCCGTAATTGATGTGGGCTCCTAATTTTGAGGCCTATGTTATTTTATTCTATATTAAACTTAGTTTGTAGAGATAAATCTCAGATAATACAGTTTAGATCACGTAGGACTAACACTAATCATGTGAGATGTAGTTTTAGTATCACTACGAGTAGATGGAGGATGTAATTGGGATGAATGGATAAAAACTAATTTAAATAAAACGTTTAGATATCAAATATCTTGTATAAAAAAACATTTTATCTCGAAAAAAAATCATTTTACCAAATGATATCTCCCTAATTGATTTTTATCTTAAGACTTTTTTATATTAATTTGATAAAAAATATCTTTCATCCTCCAACAATCGTCTTCATCATTATCGTCCTTCCCCTCTCTCTGCCACTTCCATAATTCACATCTTTATCATCTGTCTTCCACAAAGACCTCATGAGCTAGGTCAAAAGGATTCACCTTCAATCGTGAAGAAGAGGGAAGGGTAATGTGAGTAGGGCTCTCCATTTTCAATCATGAGGAAAGAGGAACAAGGTCGTACTTGATCGACAACGTTGTATAGAGATAATAAGGGAGGAGGTGAGAGGAAAAAAGGGAAGGGAGAAGACGACAAATAGTGTTACTCATGGTGAGCATAGGGAGCAATGAGAAAGGTGATTTGGGTAATTGGTGAAGGGTATAAGATATTTTTATCAAATTATTAAAAAAAATTATCCGTAGGTAAAAATAAGTTAGGTGAGTGTCATTTAATAAAAACTCAATAAAAAAAATTTAGGTAAAATGCTCAAAAGATAATATATTTATGAGATTATTATTTGTAATGTATGTTTACTATTTATATTATATTTTTAAATTTTTAATATTTGTAAACTATCATTTATAAATAAACATAAATACTATCTTCTTTCTCCTCTAAGAACGTCGAGCGGACGACCAACGATATCAACGATAACAATGAGCGACTAACGATATTGACGATAACAGTGAGCTACGTTGATGATGGCGTCAACAATGAGAGTCATTTGCCACAAACATCAAGGAAGCAATAAGTTATGGAAATAAAAAATAAAATCGATAATATTATAATAGTAAATAATAAAAATATTAATTTTATTATTTTTTTAAAGGGTTGAGATTGTGAATAGCAAATAGGAGATGTGAATAGTAAGCTCTAGGCGACCTTTTTGAGGACCGAACTCGAGCTACGTAGTTCCCGATCTCTCTTCTCGATGACGCGACCCAGCGGCCAGGGTTTCGAAAGAACAAATAGTCCAAAACCTTAATATCTCGATCCAAGTCCGGCCCAAGGAAATCATGGCCGGGGCTGTTGCGACACGATACTTCGCGAAATGGTAGAAACCATCAAGAGTTGATGATGGGGATTCTCTTCTCGCGTATCTTTATCACCCCCCTCGACTTTGTGGGGGTCGTTACTGGTTCGGGGTCTTGAAATGGAAAATGGGGTCAGAAGATGGTTGGTCAACGTCTCGCAGTGGAATCCTTCTGAGGCTCAGTTTGCATCCGTTATTTCTCTCTTTCCGGTGGATGAGCAGACAGCCATCACCAGGTCACTTTTGATTTATTCTTATGATATTATTACTGCCCTTTCGCAGGTCTTGTTGTTCGTCAGAATAGATTAAGGGAGCTTTTTTTCGATTAAGATGATAGGTTTCGAGTAAAAGATGGGTCTTGAACTGTCTGCGATGATCGTCTGGGAAATTGTTCGAAATTATCTTTTTTTTATAGGATTGAGCCTGCAATAAATAAGCACATGAACATTGGGAGTCATTCCAATGTTCCCGAAGCAAAAGATAAGTACTTTTGTTCCCGAAGCAAAAGGGTTGTTTTACCTTGGGAGTCATTCCAATCTGATATGCATTCGCTTCTCTTAAGCATTGACACCTGGAAATTATTGTGAATATGAAGTCGAAGGACAGTATTCACATAGACGTGTATGATGTGCATGCTCAAATCTAATTTACCTCCTTTTCATTTATGGATTTCGATCTTGAATATCTTGAACATTTAACAAGGGGAAGCAAAAAGAGGAGCTTCAAATGTTTTTTGCTTAACTTTTGCCCTCTTTTCATGCCTTTTCTGTGTGCACTTGTTGCCCATAACCTGCTGCCTAATTCCTGTCATGCTATATTTGAACAGAATGTCAATGTACAGAATGTCATCCTATTCCACACCTTAAACAAAAACATGCCCGAAAAAATAATTTATCATCTCTTATGAGATGTAAAGGGTAAACTTTAGAAGGACTTGGTCATTGTGCCACATAGTTCCCATTTTGATTTAAAGTAGGTTTTGCCATATCATTATCTTAGCTTGTTTGACGGTTCAGTCCAACATATCATTCATAAAGGGTTAATGTGGTTCATCAAGCTGTGGCTGCTGGATACTACCTACATGGATGGATAAAAGGAAGTACTTGTTTCTGCAATGTGTTTGGTTTTTTGCTTTTCAGTTTCAATGACTTAGTCACTTGCTTATGTTATTTATCCTCTTTGAGTTTTTTCCGTAAACATCCACTAGTGTCTATCTATCTATTTGTGTTTCTACTAGATATATATGTATGTATGATGACAAGCTGATCAAGTATTGAGTTGTGTATATTAATCAGCATGCACCATTCCACAAAGTTGGACCGGTCGATCTTCTTACATCAAACTTGCATATAGATAGGTACATAAAGTTCGAGGACAAGAAACGGGCACTTGTCAGTCGATTACTTCAGTACTCACTTGTGCATGAAGTTTTGGGTATACCTTTTGACAAGATTATCATTCACCGCACAGCTGAGGGAAAACCATATCTGGTATGATTGTTGTTCTGTTTAGTCATCATTTTCATTGGTCCAGATCTGCTTTCTATGTATCTGTAGATTTAAATCAATCGTCACCTATATATGAAATATTGGCTCCTAATTTGGATCAAGAGTAGGAAATGTGCAGCATATGGTTGCAAAGTTGAAAGCTTGTTGCGAGGTATTTCAATAGACTGATATAGATAAATTAAAAATCATTGCATTACGAACAATGTTTTAAAAATCACATATGGATAATGCTTTATTTAGTTTCTTGTTTACATTTCTTGTTGTCTAATTTTGTGTTTGTATACAATCTTTGCAGAAAAATAGTATAGATTTTCCATTTTCAAATTTCAACTTCAATGTATCACATCATGGAGATTATGTGGGCATAGCATCTGAGCCGCTGTGCCTTGTTGGTTTGGATATTGTTTCCATTACAACCCCCAAGCAAGAAACAGAACTTGAGTTCATCAATAATTTTTCGCCATATTTAACTGTTTTAGAGTGGAAGAACATTGCGCATGCTGGTAGTTCAGAAGAAATGTTGGCTCAGTTCTACAGGTATATGAATTTTGAATTTGATCATCATTATGATTCTTGAAAAAATCTCAAAAAAGAACGAGTATCTTGCATTCACATGCTACTTTTTTTGCGGGTATCTTTATCTCATTCATGTCTCAGGGTTGTAGTTGCATAGTATATGAAATTATTTTAATTTAAAATGAAATTTAAGATCAAAACTATTATTGAAGTACCCCCTAGTACCAGCTATTAACTTGGTCTATTATTGAAGTACATTTGGAGCCCAAGTGATGATAATTTTGTTGACGTACATAGTCATTGCCAGTTTTGGTATCATGACGATGACTTGAATAGTTATTGTACGCCGTTTTGCATACATGACCATTTCCTCCAGCCTAATTTGTCCTTTTGTTTTTTAAATGCAATAAGAACAAGCGTATGCATTGTAAATTAGTTAACTTCTAGCATAAAGTTTAGACCCTTCGTCATGGATATTATGCATTAATAATCTCTCCACTTGTGAAAGTTTAGTATGATTTATTATTAGGATAAATTGTGTTGGAAGCAATCACATACATTTTGTTTAAACTGCTTTGTGTTGGATTGTAGATACTGGTGTCTGAAGGAAGCATTTGTAAAAGCTATTGGTGCTGGGTTGGGCTATGGCTTGCGCAGATTAGAATTTCACCATACAAACTGGACTGGCATATCTGTTTATATTGATGGAGTTGAATCAAAGAAATGGAGGTTTTCACTTTCCAAGCTTGATGAAAAACATTGGGTCTGTTCTTCTGTCAGTTGTTCTTCTTTTACCTTCCAAAATTTAAGATTAAAATGTGTCCTCTGAACTTTCTGCATCCGTTAAAGATGTGCAACTGGTATTGTCTAGGTTATCTTGGTTGTAAAATGGAAAAAGTTCATTACAGAAACTGTAAAGGATAGAACATGGAACCGAACATTTTGACAAAATACAACTTTGAACATCTTTGTGCATTTGATGTATGCAAAATTTTCAACTCACTGGAGCATGCATGATTCTAATTTTAAAATTAGAACTTCTCATGATTTTGATTGAGATGCGAATAAATATTACATGCAAGTCTCGAATGTACCATTTCATGATTTTGAGGGAAGCATCAGTTTGAAAATGCTGAATTTCATTTGGAAAAAGAAAATGACATTTAGGCACTTTTAATGAAGATATGTGCTTAGTGTTTGATAGGCTTGGTGATTCCATTACTCCCATTTGCACAACCTGCTTTCTTTACATGTTTCTGAACTTGTGAGTTTGGTTTTGCAGGTGTCTATAGCAAGCGGACTTCCAAATAAAGCTGATGAACTGTGTTGCAGCAATTTGTCGCTTCCAGAGCTTGGATTCACCTTCCGCACCGTGGAAGAACTCATTTCAAATGTTAATTGAGGGAGCCTGATATTTACATGAGGGTTTAGTCAATTAGTAGTTCTTTAGCGGTCTAATTGAGATTCCATTCAGTTGTCACAAGCAAGATTTGTAGAACGAATCTGAATCTTTACTCTTTATGTATGATAGCACCATTGTTAGGCATTTGCCCCTACTTTCATGGCAGATGACAATTTATGTATGGATATTGTTATACTCTCACATATCACTTAATATTCAAAGTTTTATTTCATTCAATATATGTATAAGTTTTTGCAGTTTGTAATATGAAAAAAAGAGTCGAATTCTTAGGATTAGATATGCAATTGTTTTTTGTATCCGTAAATATTCATATTTATTATACGTGATATGAAACCAAAATAAGAATATTAAGTGATGTGTGATATGAAACAAGTAATATGAATATGTCTATATATTTTCATACCGGTAATACTATTTTTTTCTCAATATTGTCATATTAGTTTCATAAAATATGAATTATATTTAAAAAAAATTCATATTTTTTTAAATATAATTCATATTTTATGAAACTAATCTGACAATATTGAGAAAAAAATAATATTACCATACCAAAATATATAGACAAATAATCACAATGTTCTAAGTATAACTGTGATTTATGATATACCAAAGAAAAATTCTCAGGTTCACAATCTCCAAGGCTTATGGTTTCGGTGGAGTGATAGCTATAAGAAATGATTAATAATTTCGATCTGCAAACACGTATCCAATCCTTGGAAGACAAATAGTAAACGTTGCAAATGTACGCTTTCTTAGATGCATTTCTAATATTGCAGAGAGAGAACATACCAACATCAAATGCACAGGAAATTTCGATAGATATTTCTTCAGATGCAAAGTCTTTCATCCAATACAGAATAAACACTGCGTGTTTAGTATCTTAATACTAATTCTAGATAGCAATATAATCTATTCGTCGTGATATAGCTTTCCAGACTAAACTATTTCAGTCAGACTAACAAGAAATCGTAGTTATCCTATCCGCATCTGTGAATGATCCTCACTGAAACTCTTCAGCTTCAAAGTCCCAGTAATATGTAGTATACTAAAGTGATGGGGAGAGCAATTAACATCCCAAAGATAACCCTGCAAGAACAAAAGCTCATATCAGATATCAGTATCACAATGGGGGTTTCTTCACAATGTACTCGACAGCTAAATGTCGCCTTTGAAATAAAACTTGGTTACCCTGTGCTTAGGATATCAGGATGAACATTGTATTCTTTAGCAAACACGAATGGAACGATACCTTGCGGAAGAGCTGCCTGCAATAGTAATAACATGGAAAAAAAAACCATATAAATATCCATTGTAAATCCACCACTAGCTAAGTAGGTAGCAACTAATGAATACGAAACTTCTCATAAACCAAAAGTGTTTCTCCTAATATAGTGTTGGATCTTTGATTGTGCTTCTCCGTTACTGACTAGTGACCATGCAAATAAAGTTTCTATCTACTTGTAGTAATTATATTTCTGTGTCAATTACCAACATTTATTTGATGTGCCCTATTTGTTCTGTATTGTTGATCATGCAACAGTCAGACACTAATTCGCTAAACCTGTACGATCGCAATATGTAGGAGCACCCCGCGTAGGCCGACTGTGATAGAAGCTGCAGCCATTACAGCAGGGCCAGTGACAAATCTGACAGCCATTGCGAACGCAGCAACAGAATTGCCACAAGCTATAATTCTCGTCTGTAACGCCATAAACAACCCTGTAAATCGGAACAGAACTCTTAACAAAAGTTTGATCATATGACAAATGCTTGAAAACACTAACAGGCATTGCTTTAAGAATGAATAGTTGGGCACGACAGTGAAATTTACTCACCAAGACTAAACATAGCCATCCCAAGTCCTGCATCAGACAGTAACGATATCGAACGAGCGACGATTGCAGGCATTTCGATTTCCCACCTAAAGAAAGAGCAGTGTGTGTGTGTGACATAAAGATGATCAAATTTGTACCCATCAGCAAACGAGAGATGATCTAAACGGAATTCATGGTACCTGAACGAGACGAGGGACCAGATGAGACCGAGTAGGCTGGAATAGGTGTTCGGATTTCGGATTAGCTTCCGCCATACCATAATCAATATAAGCCTGGTCATCACGCCTGCAGGAGGCATGGAAGGCTTTCCAACTCCATCTGCCTCAGCTTTCGAGTGGAGTTCGGTGGAGTTTGAACCGAGCTTAGAGAGGCTCAGCCCGTCCCTCTGCAGAGGGTCAGTAGGCTTGTTCCTGAAGCTGAAATCATCCTGGCGGTACCCGTCGTAAGCATCACCGAGGTGAGCTTCAAACATGAGAAAATTGCATGATATCAGTAAGCTATATTTTTCCTTTTGTGAAGTAATAACCAAAGAACAACTATCAAACACACTGCAGATATGGCATCTTCAAAGAACTACTACCAACTACACATGTTTCTGCTGTAACACGAGAAATGTGTACACTAGAGGACTTGACATGGATGCATGACTATCTCCATAACCCAAAGAAAGATCAGCAAAGAAGATGGAAGAAAACCAACTTGGTTTCCACACCAGTTTTAAGAGACAACACTTCATGTTATAGCTGAATCCAGGCACAAAAACGACAGTGACGATAAGGTGGACAGCCTCGGACAGCATAGGGTCCAAAAAAGGAGTAAAACATGAACAGTGAACTAACTATCCATCCACATAAGAAACAAAAGGCATGTATGCGAAACAGCAAGTAGGATGAAAGCAACATTAATATCTCACATTTGTGATGGTGATCGTCAAGTGGAGCAACTCCATGCTCGGTTACGAATTCCGCCCCGGCAAACACATGCATCCCACCTTCCGACACCGGGGAAGCGCTCGAACTCCACACAAACATGTGCAGGTCCTTCCCTCCCTCGATCCCGCTCATTGCCTTCTTCTTCGCCCCCACAGGCGAGAATAATCCAGCCACAGGAGGGGTTGGATATGCGCCTGCCACCAAGCCGTTCGCCCTCGGGCCGCCCTCTACGTCGAGCCCCATGCTCCCAAAGTTGGAGTGCCTCGGGCTCACGCACGTAGTGCCGTTGCCACTCCTCGGCATGGAACAGAAATCCGCGTGGTTGAAGCTCGAGCCCCTCGGCGTCGGGTTCCTCGATGACCGCAACGAGTAAATCTCCGCGTTGGACAAGTTGGACGGCCGCGGCGTTATGGAGATGCCACCGGAGTTCAGCCCGTGAGACCTCCGGGAGTAGATATCGGAGCGGGAGCTCGTCGACTTTCGTACCGTGACGTGGAGCTTCCCGTCGTCGCCGACCTCGGCCTCGGTCTGTAGCGGCTCCTTGCCATCCAGAGAGATGATGTCGGAGTCGACCCTGAAGGAGATGATGGAGCCGGCGGAGTCGGGGAACTGCTCCATGATGAGGAGCCTGGCTCCCCTGTACTCGAACAGGAAGAGCATGAGCGTGTACCAGATGATGCATTGGAGCACGACGATCTGGACCATGAGGCTACCGGACTCGGAGCCGTACATGCCCTTCAGCAGAGGAATGCCCATGACGAGGGTGTTGGGGAGGGTGGAAAGCGAGAAGAGGGTGATGGCCCACTCAAGGCAGCCACGGCGGCTGGCCTTGGTCCAAACGGAGAGCACGGTGAGCACGATGAGCTTCTGAAGCGTGTCGGCGGCTATGAAGCGGTAGTTCATGGCATATGGATTGTTGGTGGAGATAAAGTGGAAGGAAAGGAGGGGGACGGCGAAAAGGGCCACGAAGCGGTTGATGCCGGAGCACTGGTCCGGGCTAAAGATGCGCCACCACTTCACGGAGCCGTAGGCCAGGATCATGGCCACGTATAACGGCACCACGGCCGTGAGAACATGGTACAGGTCCGCAGCGGTGATCATGCTCCTCCTCTTCCTCCTCTGCTGCCGGCTGAAGAGTCTCTGTTGTTTTAGAAGAACAGCTCTGAACTGAAGAGGAGTGGGAAAATGAGACTGCTCTTGAAACAGAGGAGCTAAAAGGACCGCTTCTCCTTGCAGAAGGTAGCACAATAAGTACAGCTAACAGATGGAAAGAAGCTAGGCTTTTGACGACGCTGCGCAAGTGTTCGATGAGAAATGATGACAAACAGTGAGATCTGGCGTACTGAGGCGATATGAGCCACGACGGAGAGAACAAGCTGCGGCGCAGAACCTCAGCTTAACAGGAGCAGAATTCAACCCTCCGCACAAGAGATGGGCTCGAAGGGAAAGCTAAAGAACCGAGCCGAGCAGCAGCAGAAGAGAAAAAGTCGGAGACGGATGAAAGAAAGGAGTGAGCTCTCTATGGCGTAGGCGCAGCAGTCGCTAAAGGGAGGCGGTACTTGATGCCGGTCTGCAACTTCGTATAATATTTATGATGGCGTTTAATGGCAGACAAGAAAGACAAGATGTGTTGGCGAACAGTGTTGACGGAGGGCGAGAGAGCATCGGAAGTCGAGTTCATGAGCACCGGCAAGCGCTGCTATTCTTTCCATCAGAAAGAGCTTTTGTCCCTCTCGAGGGGATGATGGAGGAAGGCAGCAGCCAATGCGACCGAGAGAACAACGCAGTTTCCCATAATCCCATAAGAACTCAGTCTTAGTCCTCCTGGATTCGCTCTTTCAGCTCGACGACGTCAGAGATTTGTTCTGTTCACCTCATGGATTTGCGTTTGCAACGAGAGAACTGAGGTGAAACATGGTGGAAACGGCTATACTTATCTAACTTTTAGATGGACCTTAGGGACCCGTCTTATCTCCAATGAGACCGCAGGTAATTCCAAGGGTTTCTCGTAAATGAGTATGTGAAATATCGTTATGATGATACGGGTATCAAAAAATAAAGGCAAAATCATAAAAAATATTTTTTTTCTTTTTAAATAAATGAAATCATCTTTTGGGCAAATTCTTTTAAAAGAAAACCTAGATTTTTTTTCTTTCTATTTTAAAGATATTATCCTTGAGTTTTCCTTCGTTACCTCGTTGGTTATGTCATAGTCCCTCTGCTTCACAATCATACCTTTCTGAGAAAAAAAAAGATGAGATAAAGAGTTAATAGAAGATAAGATTTTTTCAACTACACAAAAAATTTTGGTTGATATGTTAAGAAAAATCTTCTCCTCTAAACTTTATAAATAGAGATCATGTTAATAACTTTTTAATTAGTTTTGTGATCACACTCTATTTCATCCAAGGGGATACAGATGACCATAGAGACGATAGGATCTCGTGGACA